CTCATCATGTTACAATAATCATATTGCTGACGATTTCTGACAATATTAACTTAATAATGAAATTAATTTGTTCATAATTGTTATAAAAATCTATTTTTTATACTTCATCATGCACCTGTTGTAAAGACTATGTGCATATAGAGTTATCAATATTGAATAAAAAATATTCGGAAAATGTTTAATCAAACGAAACATTTGTTGGTTGTCAAAATTGGAAAAGTAACAAATACTAATTAATTTCTATCGATACTTCGTCTTTATGAATGAAAAAACAGAAGATTATTGTTCATCTCAAGTTATGAAAACACGAATAGTTTTGCTAAACTTTATAACGATATGATACACGAACAACGAATAATGTATAGTGAACAAAAAATTTAAACGAATATTTAGTCATCTGTCTAAAAATATTGATAAATCATTAGATTTAATAATAAAAGTCAAGTATTGAAGGAAAACTCATAGTAGTAATTGTTAAGAGTGTGGGTGGGACAGTTTTCTCTTCATCCATAAACCTATATCCTCTTCTGTATTTAACAGAAATATGATAACATTCTTTTCGAAATTTCATGTAAAATTCAATTCTTTTTTACTTCTCTGACACAATTTAAACTTCGGCTCTGTTCAGAAATGTAACAAAAACTTTTGCCTATTCGCCTGTTGTTTACTAATTTAGTTTTCGTGTCTTGTTTCAAAATACAATGACTACCAAACAATAGATATACACTAGGTAGTCGATGTTGCGGTTTAGTCTGTGAAAAGAAACCTAGGTAACAACATGATTTCTCAACATTGATCAATTGTACCTCAAGAAGACTATAAATGAGATTATCGTATATGAAATCTTCAACACAGTTGAATCAAGCAAGTGAAAACCTTTACTAATGAAAAATCAAGATATTTAATACAGAATTTAAATTATAACTTGATGTGCTATATCAAATGTATTAGAAATATTGTCCATCATCTCTTAATGGATATCCATGTTCGTGTCGATTAGGTTGCCATTTTTAACGGTTTTGACGTTTTATATATCTTTTACATAAATGATCAGATTTGTTTGGCATTGACCTCGTTAGTAATATGTGTAGCGTTAAAACTCTGTGTTGAAAATCTTGTTGTAGCTCCAAGAAGATCTGTTTGTATTTTTCTTCAAAGTGAATTAATGAAGAACTGCATTAATGTGTTGAATCTTCTTGTTTATAAAGTGGATGTAGTTCATATAAGGACATTCCTTCATTTAAGTATATCAACCTTCTTTAATTGCGCAATATAAATCTTATGCTTGTTCAACTGAAATAAGCAAGTTATTATATTGTTTCCAATGTTCATCGAGAAATGTTTGCTTGAATTCAGTTTGATATTGTTAATGTTCATCTTCTGATAATGGTTGATGTCTATGTCTATTGCAATAATCTTTTTTCTTTCGGTCTGTTGTCAACAACATAATTGATAAGTGTTTAGTAAACAAGATAATTTTTTTTTAAAAAGCAATTATTACTATACAATCATCGTCAATATTGATGTGTCAGTTAGAAAAAAAAAAGTCAATGAATAGGTTAAGCAATATGAATTCGTGTCTTCAAGGACATATATTTCTTAAAATACAATCATTAAATGAATCATTTTTATGCTTGACAAAGGCAAATAACAAAACGATGTAAGTGAAATATTATATAAAGAATAGTAAAGAAAAAAACATGACATTAAAATTGTATTTAAAAAAAGAAACATATTATTGAAAGTTTGAAGCATTTAATATTTACAAAAAGTGAGTTTTTTGTAACATAGAGAAAAATAATTACGATAAAAGAAATAATTTGTAAACTTTCTGCTTGTATCAGTTATCATGTCATGACACAAATTATTCTTCGTATAATTTTAGTGCACTTTGTAAAAATACTATTTAATTTTCACAAGATATTTTAGCAAATTTTCAGTTGATCTTTTATTTCAATTTTTTCAAATCAAAGCTTGCTGATTATTTCGATGACTACCTAGAACTTCAAACAAGTTCTAAGCAATACTAGCTAGGTTTTTTTCTGATTAAAAGAAGGTTTCAATAAGAGCTCATCAAATCTAGCAACTTGCTGGATTTATTTCTTCGGGATTTTTCTATAAATCCTGCTATATATCTTATCATGAAATTGGAGACCATGATACTGGGAGTAGGTCTCTGGCCAAGGCTGAGACCGACACTTAGGGTAGGAGATTACATGAGAGTGACAGCTGATACTTGAAAATAATGTCTTTCTTTTCCTACAGTCTAAATATATAATATTATCAATACACTAATCTAGACAAATCCAATAAATCCCGAAAAACAGCCTTGGTATAGTCCTTTGTCGAATTGACATTAATAAGAGAATGATTGATTTCATTCTATCAATCACTCAATATACAGTCGACATTATATTTAATGAAAATTTTATTCACAGTTTTTTTTCCTATATATAATTGTTCTTTTTCTAAATTATAAGATAAATAGAATCCAAAAGTGATATAAACTGAGAGAATTCAGTTACTATTTGAAACTTAAGTTTCGTTAACTTTTGATAAAATTCTAATCATTGAAATATTACAAAAATAGATCAATTTTTAAAATTCAAATAAAAATTAATCGAAAAAAAACAAAATAAGAAAATAGTTTTCTCCCATTTTCTCAAATGTTAACCGAAACACTTTTGCAAATATTGCACAAATTTTTCTACAAAAACCGACCGACTATCTATTAACTAGAAATTATCTAGAAAATTCTCGTCTCACAAGATAATATCCTATTTCAATGAGCAATAAAAAAAAAGGAAGTATTTTAATAGAAGAAAATTATACATTAAAATGTTTTTATTTTGATTGTCATTAACTCCCGTTCTATTTGTATTAATCTATATTATAAATGTAAAAAGTAATATTAATAAAGTAATAATTAATTTTTGATTGACAATCACGAATTTATCACTTTTTGATGGAATTAATGGTGGTAAACTTTCATCATCGATAACTGATAACGATGAAATAAATTTATAATCATATCCTGCAGGAAAAATTTTATTATCAATTACAATTGAAATCGATACAGTTGAAAGATCACTATTATTCAATGGTGTTGGACATACAATTTCATTTAAATCAATAAATGTTCCATTCGTTTCTTTTTCACCAAATTTACAAATAATTTTTTTACATATGGCTATTTCAAATCCAAAACCAAAAACTGTTACATTAATAGATCGATTAGTTGGACCATATGCAGGTAATATTTGAGATATATTCATAGTTAAATTAGGATATGTTTGATTACATGCTATATTATATGAATTATCAATAAATAGATTCCATTCATTTTGCCATTTTTGTAATCCTTCTATTTTTCGATTATTTGGAAGTGAACTATATTGAATAGAATTCCAAGCAAATTGCTTTAAATCAGCAAGATTTAAACCCCATGCCATAGTTGCCAAATAAAAATCTACTGTTAATGTATTATAACCAAAACTTCCTGGATCATCACCAGATAATACAATTGGAATACCACTTCGATGATAAACAATTCCTGGATGATTACGAAGATCAGCAACATAACCTTTTATCAAAAACACAAACAAAAACAAGATAAAGGTAAATAAATAAATAAATAATAATGAATTAAAATTACCTAATATTTGATTACTTGCTGGACAAATTTCAATAGCTATTTGACGTTGACGAATATATTGATATAAATCTGGACGTTTAGTTAAACTAAGTCCATGACCAATACGATGAGTTCGAAATACAAGTGCATCATAAATATTTTCAAATGCTGATACACTATCATCAGGAACTGATGGAATATGATTTTCAGGCCAATTTGTTTCACCAGAATGAAAAAGAAAATTAAATGATCCATTACTTGTACTTGTATAATTAAATGCATTAATAAGAGTATCACTATGAAATAAAAGCGTATGACCTTGATCTTCTTCACCAACCATATCATATCCACGAATAAAATCAGGATATAAACGATGAAGATTAATTATATTATTAAGATGAGTTTTTATTTGTTCTTTTAGTAAATTTCTTGAACTATAAATTACAAATATAAAATCAATTAATTTAGGATTTTTTGATATATATTCTTTTTTAAATTTTAATAATAAATCTAATTCTTCCGTTGGATTTATTAATATTTTTGTATTATTTTCAGTTAAATAATATAAACTTCCAAAAAGTCCTCGTCGAAATTCTAATAATTGAATATTTTCTTCAAGTGCTTGATCTAAAACTAATTTCATATAATTAAATCTTGTAACATTATATTTAACTAAATCTCCATAAAAATCAAAAACTCCATATTCAGCAGCTGTATGCCATCGACCTTCCGTATCAGTAGCATATATTGGTGTTTCAAGATTATTTAAAATTCCAGTTAATGTTGTTCTTTTAAGAATTTCTGGTATAGTCCAATTCGAACCTTTGACTTTAGTCCATTCAGAAGATGGATTACTTTTAAAATAATTTAAATAATATTTATTTGTTGTACAATTATCTTGATCACAAATATATAAAAAATCATATTCAGAAGAATTCATTATATGTTCAAGTAATAATTTTCGATCGAGAACTTGTGATTCATGTATATGTAAATTTCCTCCTTTAGGTAATGATATTAAAAATTGATATAATGAACTTTTTGTTATATTTTCAAATACTTTTTCAATTGGACGTGATGGATAAAAATAATTTTTTGTATTCATATAATCATTAGCTTGTAATAATTCCAAATATAAATTAACAACTTTTTCTTTTGAAGTTAAATTATTTTGAGCTTGTACACCTCGATCATATTGTTTAATTCTTTCTCGTGCAAGCATATAAGCATATTGATTTAATGGTAATGGTAATAGAATTATATTTGAAAATAATAAAAAAAATAGAATACTTATTATAAATAATAAATTCATTTAGGTTTTAAATTAATCTAAATATAAATTTATATTTATTATTATTAAACTTATTTTTTATTTCATCTTTTTCAATGAAAAAAAAAACAATTTCATATGTTCTGATTAAGATAAGAAATTCTATTATTTAATTTATTTTCAATGTTTGCTAATTTAACAAAATCTCTTATCAAAACATACATTGTATTAATAAAATGAACTCAATCTATCTAATAGTTTTTCTTGCTTAACAAAAAACAAGAATATATTCTGTGTTCAAGCATCTGTTAATTCGACAATATAATCACGGTAGACATGTTCTGTAGAATATGTTATTTATCAAGAACCAAAAACAGAAATGAAAAATATCAAAGTCTTATAATATACGAATAGTTCGTATATGAAATCGTTTTTTTTGTAAGTAGTTTTTTTACAGTCATATATTGTACTGTGACAAATATTCACTTCAAATCCTGAATAAATATTTACGACATGATTATGTATGTTTATGATAGATTTATAAAGAATCAATGAAATATAATGAATAACACTAATCTGTCTTAGGTGAAACCGACGATATGAAAATAAAGCAGTAATTTTATGCTTATTTTCAACATCAACAATTATGAATAGTGTTAGCGAGAGGTTCTTCCATACTACCCAATCATTGCAGTCGCTGGTAAATTTTGTTTTTCGCTGTGAAGTTCTGCTACAAAATGTTTAGTTTGTACTGACCTATTAATCATCATGTCATTTTATTTACAAGTTCACTGTGATTCATATTTTGGTACTCTCTTTAAAAACAATTAAAGTGATTGAATCTATTCAAGTGTTATTTGATAGCCTTGCAGTTGCTTTACAAAAAACTAAAGAATTGTGAAAAGTATTTTTTATTGGAGTTTGAAGCTATATAATACTGAAAGTCAAAGTTCGTGGTTATCTTAGGTATAAAATGATCATATTTTTCCTAGTTTTAACCTTCTGGTAACTTCAATTGTCAAACAGTCAATATTTTTTTCAATCTCATCCTATAGAGTATTTCAAGCTGCAGCTAACTATATAAAATTAAACTTCTGGAAAAAAACCTATTGACATCTCGAAAAATGACTTACACTAGTGATCTCATAAATGACCTAATATAAGGATATTTATCATGAGTTCAGCAAGTACTTATTAAATCTGTGTGGAAGTAATAAATTTCTTATCTATTAGTTGTGAAACTCTAATGAATGACAAATTGTTTGCTGGTTATCAGACTTTAAGTTCGATAGTTCTAATCTATAAATATTCTAATTATTTACATAATATATAGACCATTGATGAAGATTCAATATTTCTATATTAGACGAAAATTATTCTTCGCATAGACGTGATAGTTAGTTAGAATTATACAACTACTCAAAATACTTAGAAACATTCAAATTTTTTCAAACGATATGTATAAAGAACTCATATAATGCAACTCAACTTTGATGAGGCTAGGAATGCAATGGTAATGGCACTGGTCTCCACATGTATGTATGGACTAACGATGAACACGTGATAAAACTATATTAGTTTTGGATTGATTTCGAGTCTTTTGGTCGGCGAGACTATTTCAAGAAAATAGTTGAATTTTACAAAAATTGACTAAAGATTTTCGAGATCCAAGAATCTGGACTATAGAAAATTCGTTAAAACTTTCGAGTTCGATTTTCTCGTTTAAGAAGGGTATAGGTCTCACAGTTTAGTGATGTTTAATAAAATTCAGCTATATTCGTGAAACAGATCTACCCGACCGAAAAAGCTGAAATAAATCTAAGATCATCATAGTTTTATCATGCGTTCATCGTCTTCATTGTTATTGATACGTGTATGACTTGTCTAGTGCACCGGAGGTACACTCTAAGAAAAAGATACCCTTAAAAATCGGTAAAAGTTTTCTGAATAACTACTTCCAAATGGCTCGAAAACTCTTATCTGACCTAGCTATAATGGTTTATTTAATGCTGATCTCGAAAATTAATTAAAGATTTCCCAATTGAACAAAACCCTCAGAGCAAAAGGTATACTTCAAAACGCAGTCAGTTAAAATTGTTGTTGAACAAACAACGACGCTATAGAGGACTTGTCGTAAATATCATGAAACATCGCATTCGGAAATATTCAATCACAAGAGTTTCATTATAGGAAGAATTTCTGTATTATTTTTAATATCACTTACCGTAGTGCTAGTTGTCAATCGAAACTTGAAAGCAAAAAAAATATTCTTTAATTATTTCTTTCTAACATTACTTACTAAATATTTGTGATAAAAATACATCTGAATAGAACAGAAAAATTTTTTTGTTATTTTCAATATAACTTGTTACTGATTTCTCATTAAGATAAACTTAATTGGAAAAGAAAAATTGTCAATTATTTTTGATATGGTTTGTTATTGATTTCTCATTGAGATGAACTTAAATCAAGGAAGAAAAAGCATACTTCTGTATTTCTGAAGTATGAAGAAGTATAGAAGCATTGATAAGTCTATAAGACGTATCAAAAAGAGCCGACAAGTATCAAGAAGTATTCGAAAGTACCGAGAATTACCGAGAGTTATAGAAATGTTTACAGGAGAATGAGACAGTTTTTGTTAGTTTAACAAGTTCATTAAAAAGCAAAAATAAAAATAAAAACATAAGAAAATAACCAGCATCCAATATCCAGTTGTCGATTACAGAATGACGGAAATATATGTCATAAAAACTTCATTTTGTTTACGTTTTTCTATTTCTTATCAATGATCGATTATTTTGATCCATTTCATGTCACTTTTATATTATTTGTTTTATTATCATGTATTGATATTAGTATTTTTTATGAATATTAATATTTATTTCTGTTCGATATTCAGCATGGTTTCTTTTATTTTTATCATAGTTGAAATAAATATCAGTTCTCTTTCTACGTATATTTTCTTTGTTTTCTGTTCGCTATTATGAGAAAGAGAAATAACGTGATATTTTTCTCTTTAAAGATATTAGTGCAAAAAAATAATAGTAAAAAGAAGACTGATATTCTATCTTCTACTATAAGTTCTGTTTTTATTATATATTATTCTTTTTTTTTTAAATGAAAATCTATATTACAAAGAGAAATTGACTATATTTTTCTTGAGTAATAGAAATCCTCAAAACTGTATAGGACCAAATATGTATCTCGAAAAGTACGAAGAAGTACTAGAAATATGAGAAGTATGGAGAATTATATAAAAAGAAAGCCAAAAAGTAAAATGCATAAGTCGCAAGTGGATGCCATGTACAATAATAATTGTCTTTAGGCACAAAATGATATTAAAGAACTTGCACAATGAGTGTTGAAGATATCGCATAAAATTAACCATAAACATGCAAACCAAATATTGTGAGTTGGTGGTGCATTCAGATTTTTCGGTTGAATCTCAGAGCATTTTTGACTGGCAAGATCAATGGTGGCTAAATGTTTCTAAATATTGCGCTCTTAGAAAGTTTTGTTAATCCATTTGGACATTGTATGAAGTTTGTATGTTGTAGAAGATTGGTTATATTGAGTTTGAATTAATACTGTTATCATCATTGAATATACAAATCAATGGAAGACGAATATATAAAAGAGAAAATAATTGATGTTTTTATGTTTTAATCCTTGTATTTATTAAATATTTGACTTCATGCATGAATTTAATTTCTTAAATAAAATGTGATAATATAAATTGATTAAAATTATAATTAATAAGATATTTTGAATGAATGAAGATCAAAAATTGTTGACAATAGTATTAATAAAATGAAGTCATTAAATTATTATTGTAAAAACATTTTGTATTATAGTGACGTTCTGATGAATAATTTTAGCGTCGTATATATTAATAATTTAATTTGAATTCAATGGTATCATCAATACAACTAATATAGTAGGTTATAATCAGCATAAAAAGACGATATCATTAAATAGTTTCTCTTTCCTTTATTCTAGCAAAGACATCAGTAATTCATGCAAGTTCACGTTTAATAAACATTTGGTTTTGTCATCTACAATATCAAACACAACAAAAAACAGCATCATTTCTCTTTTCCGAGGATATCTCTTC